TTTCTGGGAAATAGCCCACCCTTTTATCTGGCAAAGATAACGTGGTATAAAAGCTTATGGTTTTCTAACTGCGTCAGTTCGGTTTGCGGGGTCTGATCTGTCGGTTAAAAGCTCGTCACTGACTGAACTCAAATAAACTCCCTCTGGCTGGCCAAGAATCGTCTCCTCTCTTATTTATCTTGATAAGTGGACCTTCAGCCACTACAATCCAACCATCCATTCATCTGTTCATCCAACCAACCATCCAACTCTTCATCCATCCGTTCATCCATCCATCTGTTCATGCAACTGTTCATCTGTTCATCCATTCATCCAACTATTCATCTGTTCATCCATTCATCCAACTATTCATCTGTTCATCCAACCAACCATCCATCTTTTCATCCAACCAACCATCCATCTTTTCATCCAACCAACCATCCATCTTTTCATCCATCCATCTGTTCATCCAACCGACCATCCATCTGTTCATCCATCCATCTGTTCATCTATCGATCCATCCATCTTTTCATCCAACCAACCATCCATCCGTTCATCCATCCATCTGTTCATCCATCCAGCCATCCATCTGTTCATCTACTCATCCAACCATCCATCCGTCCATCCATCCGTTCATCCATCCATCTGCTCATCCATCCAATCATCCATCCATCTATTCATCCATCCGTCCATCCATCTGTTCATCCAACCAAGCATTTATCCATCCATCTGTTCACCTTTTCATCCCTCCATCCATTTTTCTGTATAAATAATCTTCAGGTTAATATTTTTTGTTTGATTATCCTGTTTGAAGTTGAAATAAAGTCTCCATACAAGAAGCAGCAGTGTGATCCAGGTCCTCTTGGCCCTGATCCAGCTGGTTCTGGTTCTGGTTCAGGTTCAGTGGACTGCAGTTTTCACTTGACTGAGAGTTCATGGATCCAGCCTCCCTACTGGCCTCTTCGATGGGACTCAGAGCCTTTCCGGTTTTGGACACGGCTCCCTGGTAGCCTGGCAGAGTGTGGAGGTCTTCTGTGGTCCGGTCCTGCTGGCCTGAGGCGGTGAACCCCAAGAGATCAGCTAATGACAATCCATAGTTAGCAGCACATAAGCTAAAGTTAGCAGCAAAGCTAAACTGAGTCCAGACTAAAGATTGTCTTTAAAAATCCACAAAACTAACAAATCAAAACAGATTCAAACTCAACTGGTCCAGATGAACAGAACTGATGGTTCTGTTCGTGATCCTCTCACCTGTCTGCGACTGGACCTTCACGTTGAGTCCTCTCTCCTCAGGATGCAGGAAGACGTCGTCCATCAGCTCATCTGAAGACGCCTCAGAGTTCCTGCTGGATGAGAGCCACACAGTGAGATCTGTGGATTCTGGTTCTGATGGACATGTCAGCGTCTGCACTGATCCGTTACCCAGCAGGCCTTGCAGGAGCTGACTCATCATATATCTGGAAGGAAGCGGTGCTGGTAGGTTCACCGGAGTCCAGGACCTGGACGACAGAGAGAGACAGAGGAGTCCAGCAGCTCTCATGATGAGACCTCAGAGGGACCACCAGGATCAGAACCAGAACCAGTACTTCACTGATACCTCCTGATTGGCCATGAGCTTCAAGAGCTTCATCTTCTCCTCCAGCTGCTGACTGAGCCACTCCTCTTCCTCCTTCAGACTTCTCATCTTCTCTGAGGAAACAAAACGTTTGACCAACTCAGACCAAAGACCTGAACTAAAGACTCCTTTACTGCGGTCAGTGAAGGCATCGATAAACACACAGAGGACAGTAAACGTCCCATGGTCAGTGAAGGCATCGATAAACACAGAGAACAGTAAACGTCCCATGGTCAGTGAAGGCATCAATAAACACACACAGGACAGTAAACGTCCCAC